ACCACTTTTTCAAGGGCTAAATTAAAAAGTAATGGCGACAAATCATCGCCTTGCCTCAGGCTAAAGTCAAAAAAACATAAGTGCAATTCTTTTCCAAATTCATAATATTTTTCTAATGCTTGTCTAATCGTAAATATATGGTCAGTGGTAGATTTCCCTTTCATTAAAACTTTCAGATAATTGATTTCGGAATTTGACTTTACACGTGGTGTTGGAATTACATTCTTTTATTAATTGGACTAATTTTGAAGGTATTTCAAATTATTCTAAGGTTCTCCATAATTTGTTTCTATTAATGCTGTCATAAGCTTGGCTAAAGTCAAAAAAAACATAAGTGCATTTCTTTTCCAAATTCATAATATTTTTCTAATGCTTGTCTAATCGTAAATATATGGTCAGTGGTAGATTTCCCTTTTATGAATCGAGTTTGATATTTTCCTATTATGTCTTTGGAGTAGATTTCCAACCTGTGTAATATTGCGGTAGATAAAATTTCATAGCAGGTATTTAATAGCGCTATTCCTCTATAGTTTTTTGTATCCATTGTATCCCCTTTCTTATATATTGGGCAAATTATTGCCGTTTTCCAATCCTGCGGGATTTGTTCTTTTTTCCAGGTTTCTTTGATTAAAGTACATATTTCCGAGAACATTTTTGGGGTCGAAATTTTAATTAGTTCAGCATTTTTGTTGTCTTCGCCAGGGGCCCTTGTTGTTCTTTAGCATTTTTATAATTAGTTTAATCTCTTCTTCATCTGGTTCAGTGATCTCTGGTTGTACTGTATAGCGAAGCGGGTGGACCTCTTCCGGAACGTTATTGTCTTGATTTATATTTAAGAGATCTTTAAAGTAAGTTCGAAACTTCTTTACAATATTCACTTCATCCGTAATAAGGTGTCCACAATCATCTTTCAGCATAGTTAGTTGAGCATTGAAACCTTTCTTTATAGAATTACATTTTTTGAAGAACGTTCTAGGGTTTAGCCTGTGTTCCTCGATACTACTTACAAATTCTTTTTCAGCCTTTCTCTTCTCTCTTCTAATAATTTTATTAGCTTGGTTCCTAAGTGTTAAAAATTCTTGTTAGTTTTCTGGTGTTGGATTCTGTATAGCTTTACTTCTGGCTTCGCTTCTTTTTTTGATTGCATCCTTGCATATGTCATTGAACCACGAGTTCTTTGGTTTTCGAATGTTCTATTTAAAGATTTCAGAGGCCTTGTTAACTGTTTCTTTAATATCTTTCCATTTGTTTTCTATATTGTTGCTTAAGCTAGAAGGTTTGTTTCTGAGTAGATTACTTGTTAGCAATTGGAAATTTTTTCTGGTTTCAGGGTCCCTGAGTTTTTCTGTATCCAGTTTTGGCTTGCTTTTCATCCTTTTGTTCCATAACCTTGATAGTTTTATTTTAAAACATGCTGTCACTAGATAGTGATCCGTATCCAAATCAGCTCCTCGACAGCTTCTTACTTGTGTTATACAGTTTTTGTGTCTTCTATTAATTAATATGTGGTCGATTTGGCTTTTAAACCTTCCACCTGGAGAGGTCCAGGTATGTTTTTGTATTTCTTTTCGTTGGAACTGGGTGCTGCTAATTATTAGGTCTTTTGATGCAGCGAAACTTGTAACGATGCAGAATTGCCATTATAATTAATTATAACGAAATATGTGTCGCCATCTGTGTACGCGCCAACGCGCGAACCAAAACTATTAACACGCGCCGCCGTCCCGACAGGAATACCTATTCATGCTACCAACTTTTCACTGTAACGACTTATTTAAGCACAGTGAACGATATAAGTTAAAGCTACACAACGCTATTAACACGACAAACATATAAAGAAGTACCAAAAAAGTTGCATTAAGAAGAAAACACGAATTACATCCAGAAAACCAATGACGCAATGACGCCGCATAGAGTGCGCGCCGTTACGCAGGTTTTTTGACCGTCAACACTTCCAGCGACTTTATGGAAAACAACCACGACAGCCCATAAAACTATCATAACCATCGTCTTCCCCAGAAGATTACACCCTAATTACATATAGCCGCCCACAGGGTAGAGGGTCTACAACATACAGAAACATAATGAAAGCAACTACCTACTTTCATCCATACAACACACCACCCGTAGTACTAACATGGCATAAATATGAGCCAGCACGGTCAATGAAATCAACTCATCAGATCGCATCATCGAATCGCATCGCATCGTATCGACAAATATATAACACGCCGTTTCAACTTACCGCCTTTCTTCAGTAGTGTGTAACTTCAAACCGCCTTCTCCCGCAAAGCCCTCTCCCTATACTCGCAGTGTGAGTGGTGGTACGCCTCAAAACGTACTGTTCAAGCCACTCACACTTAACAGTAGACGGAGGGGAAGATTCCCCCAACACTCTCGCTAGGTATCGGTGGTGGTACGCCTAAGAACGTACTGTTCAAGCCACCGGTGCCCAGGTGCAGTAGTCGTTGTCTGTCCCCGTTGCCGCCGCCGCCACGACGAGCGCGCCGCCGCGACCGGTAGACTCGTATTATCGTCCCTCCGCGTGTTACTATCTTCGCTACGCCGAGCGCCGTTATCACGCCGCGTGTAGTATTATTATCGCCGCCGCCACTACGAGCGCGCCGCTGTAATCATATCAGTCCGTTGCCGTATCACCGTTGTTGTTGTCGTCGTTCACGTATCGCAGACGTATTGACGGTACGTACGACAACCAACGCATGATACCACATTGATAAATATCAATATCGTCAACCACGTTGGAACTAGTCGACGAGGAGAGTTCAGTACCTGTACCCCGAGGACGAGTCAAGCCACCGCCCGGGAACATTTTGTATTGTTGTTATCCAGCACCACCAGCAGAGTAGGCTGCCATTGGACACAACATCTCCGTATTCTGTCTCTTACTTTCACGGTCCACGTGAGTCTTTAAATATTGTAATTTATCATCACACATTTAAATAAAAACCATATCTGTAGCTCGACAGAGCATATGTACGTTAAAAGAAAATACTGTAAAACAAAACTGAATAAATTAATTATTTTGAACTGAAATAAAATATCTGTAGCTCAACAGAGCATATGTAAATGAAAAGAATATATTGTAACACAATTAAATAAATATGATAATTCTTTTCAAAATGCAAGAATAAAAAACACTATATATTAAACAAAAACAACCGGTGTTTTGCATTCTTACAAACTAATTAATCTTATTCCATTGCTATTACTCTCTACTATGAAAATGTAAAATGTTTATAGAACACAAAGTCATCGGATCATAAAAATAAAATAAAACGGACCGATGCATTTATAAAAATTGCCAACGATCTTAATTTTGAAGAACAAGAGGTGAGAAAAAAAAATGAATTCTCTTCTTACACAATATCGTAGAGAAAAAAAAGCATTAGTATTAAAATCAGGAATAGCAAGAAAAACACCATATAAATATTTTTATTTTCTGAACAACAAAAACGATCCTCAAAAAACGCGATCTAACACTAATGAAGATGCGTATAGTGAAGACGATTGCGATAAACTTGATACTGAATCAGTTAATGAGGATAAAGAAAAAGACAATGAAAAAAAATCCGAATATTCGGAATACTCTAATTGTAGTACAGAAAGTCCCAAAACCAAAAAGAAAAAACTATTTATGTCACCAAAACATTCCGAGAAAAAAAAACAAGAAGACGAACAAGTTAAAGAAGCTTATTCTATTATGACGTCTTGTTACTCAAAACTACAAGATCAGCAACCAAAAGATGAATTAAAAGTTTATGGAGAATCCGTTAAATTTAGACTACGTAAAATACAAAATCCCATGAGCGTATAGACATACTAAAAAATCAAATAGGTAATCTATTATTTCAAGCGGAAATGAATCAATATAAACAAGTTACTATTCCTGTGCAATCAACAACACTTTTGTCTGAATTTCAGCCAACAGCATCAAATTCGCCATCACCACAGTCAGCTACATCAGTGACACCACATCCTCAGCAAATACAGTTACAAGACTACAACATGCGAAATCACTTTGAAAATTCTCAATTTTATTAAGTAAGCTAAAAAATTAAAAATGTAAGTTAACTTCATCTTTATTGTAATGTTTTATTTTTTAAGTACCTTGATATGCATTTAATATGATTTTATATACATAATAAGTTGAAATAATACTATCACATTTACATTAATTTTTAGTTATTAAAAATTAATTATATTTACTAAGTGAAAAATACGTATTTCTTTTTTTTTTTTACATTGCCTTTATGCATATTTATCTTGTCAAGGAACACTTCCGGTTTCACTTGTGAAGTATGTAGCGAACTCATATCTAATAGCTTTAGAATTTTCTCCTGATTTACATCCAGATCATGAAGCATGAAGAGTTTTCTGACTGTCTTCTCCATATTCCTGGTGTAATTTCTCCGGATCCATAATCAATGTCAACACTTCCTTGTGGAGTATAACAGTTTTTGATGATTTGCTAGCTCTTAGATAATTATGCAGATAAGCACATGCAAGAGTAACTGAGGTTGCTTGAAGTTGCCTGAAGTTCAGGACTTAATAATATGGGTTTTCTAAGAACCCTAAAAATAGAACTCATTATACCAAATACATTTTCTGATACTCGTCGTGCTCTGCTTAACCGATAGTTGAATATAATCTCCTTACTTCCTTTTGTTTGATGTCCAGGGTAAAGTTTCAGTTTCATTACATTTTCACTTAGAGAAAATGCATCGTCGGCCAATAAAGCTTAAAGCATATTGGTTCAGGTAAATTAAGGGATTTATTTTCTAAACGTTTCCATAAGTCAGTATTTTTGAAGACTCCACCATCGGATATGCGGCCTTGACATCCAGCATTTATGTAAATTAATTAATAATCCGCATCAACCAGTGCCACCAAAACTATGCTAAAGTGGCCTTTATAATTAATAAACTCACCTCCAGAGTTGATAGGTGCTTGTAATAGTATGTGTTTCCCATCTAAAGCACCTAAACGTGCGGGAAGTTCCATTTTTCCTCGTAATCTGCAGATATTTTCAACCATTCATTTGTTTCAGTTGGCATCTGAAATACATTTGAAAGATATTTAGAATTTATAAAATATACTATACAACATTTATTTTTATTGTTAATTTTTGTGAAAAATGTTAAGTAGTTTGGTTTAGGTATGACTATTTATTGCGAGGAAAAAATATAGACTAAAATTGTCTGTTAAAAATTTAATTTTAATTTGGTTTTTTTTTATTAAAATACTAAACCAATTGATAGTGAATACAGTTTGTCTTAATAATAATTGTCTCTTTATAATATAGTATAAAATGTATTTAATTTTAAATAATTCTTACCTTGATGTAGTTTTTAAGACCAGATATTAATGCTTCACATACTTCTGGTACAATTTCTGATATTGCTTGTTTGGATACTTTAAATATGTACAGTAAAGAATGATATGATTCACCAGAAGACAAAAAACTTAAAGTAATTGCTAGGCGAACTGATACTGAAATACTTTCACGAAAATTTGTATTTTCTTTTGCGACTTTGGGTCCAATTAAATTTATTAAAAACTCAAAATCGGTACTTGACATTCTTGTAAAATTATTAAACAAATCACTTGCGTGTAAATCCAAAATGAAACGCTCACCACTATAAGTTTTTCGACGTTGTAGTAGTTGTCTTACCCACCATCGTCTCTTACTTCTATACTTAATTTTATTTTTATAGTAGTTATGAATAATTATGAATGCAGCTCCTACACACATGACTTGCTCTAGAGACGCCATAATCGAAACTGTAGATTTATGTATTGAGCAAACATATAAGCGAACAAATATAATGTTTGTTATTTTGACAAACTATTTAAAATACATTTGTCAAACATTTGACGAACTTTCTACAAACAATGTTTCCCCAAATGTTTGCTAGGTGTGGACGCGGCTTTAGAGTTCCACCAAAAACCAAAATCGATTTTTTGGAAAACCAATTTTGTTTAAAAATTGAATTTATTCCTTAATTTTTATGTTGTTTTTCCCGGCCCTCGTGAAACTATTTGGAATTTTTAAATTTGACCTCCTGAATGCACCAACTAGATTTACTTTACCATCGAACAAGATACTGCCAAAGAAAATCGAAGCAGTTTTACTGCCCCAAATCGTGATGACAGACACAAAAATAAATTTAAAAATTTAAAAAGTGCTCTGCTGTACAGTAGGTTACAAGTGGGTCACTGTAAAATGGATAGTATTAAATTTGAATTCAATGATATAATATCATTGTAGAAGAAAAACGATTCTGAGCGGAGACGGTATGTCAGTCTAGGTATAAGGCGTATTATATACTTATCTATTGTATTAAAAAAAATTTACCTCAAATAGGTAGGTACCTATAATAAATTCCAAATTAATCATCTCACAATATCCATTAGGTACTTATAATGCGTTATACGTCAACAACAAACGCTGATACTATCAGAGTCCATACTAAATAGATATATATATAATAGTGTACTTCAGAAGTTTCAAGTAAACACGAATAATATTACTCAATCACAACAAAATAACTAAAATAGTTATTCTAGGTTTTTTTTATGTACCTAATTTTGTCCATAGTTGAACTTAAAATGACTATAAAAATAAACTGTTTTTTATGTATTTTTTAGATTTTTTGGTAAAAGAATTAACTACTTACGTGGAATCTTGTTTTAAATTTTCAATCCTTAGATATAAATGTTGAACATTTTATACATTTTTAACTACAAAATAATTATTCAATTTTAAATTTGATAAATGTTGTAAAAATGTAATCTTTAAATGCTTATAAAAAAAAATTGTGCATATGTATTTTTAATATTTTTCAACTGATATTGTAACAATATATCAGGAGCCTTGTATCAAATGTTGACACTTTTTGACCCAAAAGATAAAACTTAATTGATATTTATAGAATAAAAAACTAAAAAAATTAGAAACTGAAAATGTCCGTAAACAACTTAAAAAGAGTCAAAATATTTTCAAAATTGTATGGTGTATAGGAAATGCTAATTTAAATATTCAGTGAAATTTTCATGTATATACAGTTATTCGTTTTTGAATTACAACAAAATAAAGAAATGGCTACATGAGAAATCGAGTGAATATCCAATGTTGTAAAAATTTGAATTTCAAGCGCTCATAAAAATTGAATTTGACTTTTTTATAGACATTTTTTTTTTTGATAAAGGTAGATAATCTTATAAGCAGTCTTGCATTACATTTAAAAACCTTAGATTTAAAAAGAAAAATTTTTACGAATTCTTAACTCAAAATAATTTGCTAATTTTCGTGATTTTTCAATATTTTTTCAATTTTTGTGATAGTAAACTAAAAGTTATACTCCAGAAAAAACCTTCGGATAAAGTAGAGCGATTTTCCATTGTACCTATAGTGGGAATTTTCGGCAATGCGTTAATAAGACAAAACGTAAAACAACGTTTGAAAAAATAAATTCGAAAAATTAGTGAATGAAAAAATATCTGCGGATATGTTAAGGAGGACTGAAGCTAATGATTTTATGGAGTTTGATGACAAAGAACCTAGTAATTTGCCGACAGGTTAAAATCATTAGAACATTGAGAATCATAAAATGTAGAGTTATAAAAGATCAACGAGAAGAGGATGACCCTATATTGACCATTTGTAAAATGAAATATTTGCATCCATAAATCAACATAATTAAAGACATTGGATATGACAGATTTTATGTTCACTATTGGAGTGCTCCTAAAATGAATGTTTATAGAAAATATGTACAACATAATAACATATCAACAATTTGCATAGACTCAACTATAAGTTTAGTCAAAAAACCAACTTTAATATCCGAGAAGAAAACAAGAAATATTCTACTCTATGAAATCGCTATACACGACAAAACCATTAAGGCTCAATATTCAATAAGTCACATGTTATCTGAGAGGCATGAAAATAATTCAATTTAAAATTGGTTAATAGAATGGATTTAGAGGGAACTCCATATCCAAAACAATTCTTTACAAACATGTCATTAGCATTATTAGCTGCTGTCGTACGAGCGTTTACACAGTATAATAATTTAACTAATTACATAAGTGCTTGTTTCCAATTATTATCTAATATACAACAAGATACACCGACATATTTTATTAGGTGTGATGTAGCCCATATTATAATACTGGTGACTACTTGGAAGCCACTCCAGTCCGTTGATAAGAGAGTGAAAGATTGTATAGTTCGTTCAATAGCACAAATTATTTTATCTGATGATATAGACGATTTGAAACAACTGTTGAGAAGTTTTTTTGGCTCATTTAGAGTAATACAGATGGTTATTTGGAAAATAGTCATAAAATCTTCTGTGAAAATGAACGACCATTCTTACGACAACGGATTGCCACAGGACTTCTAGAATCAAATTTCCACCAAAATATTAGAGAGAATATTGAAGAACTAGGTTTTGAAGATATCATTAATTTAAATAACACAAGAGAACCATTTTATGAAATGACTAAGAATATCGCTGAACAATGTCAAATTGATGTAAATTATCAAGTGGGGTATCACGGTATTTTATACCGACTATTGCAACACTGGTATTAAATTTGTGCACATACATGCCATTGTGGTCTAGAATCATGTGTAAGGCATTCAAATACGGTGACATTCCTGCATCTAATGCTTCGATTGAAAGCCAGTTCAACGATTTAAAAAATCGGGTCCTTAAACACGCCAATAGATGCCAATGAGAGTCGATGATTGATTTCTTAAAAATACATATTCAATCTATCAATGGTACAATGAAATTAATGAATGCTAAAATCAATCAAATTCCAATTAAAGTCAACCAAAATCCTCAAAATCTTACACCTCCATCAATAAATGACGAAGTAATAAATGATGAAGCAATAAATGATATAGACACCATAAGAGTTAATGATGATTTGAGTAATCAAATTTTAGATTTCAATAGTCCACCAATATAAAAGGTATCAAATCAATATATGTGTAACCAACTTGTATGTACAGTAACAACAACAGATATACACACAATACCAATATTAGAAACCGAGGATATATCCGAAGAGAATTGGGGTAATAATATATTAATTAACCCGAGAAAAAAGAAACCAATATATTTGGCACCAAATCGAGAAATTTTACTAAGAAATCTAGATTCAAGAGCAAAGACAAAAGTTATCGGACTTATGAAAAATGGCATCACTCGAAATTTAAGTCTATACAACTAGATGATGAAATGTCTGTGAAGTTAGCTCCCGGACGTTTAGCACTTATCAATTCTGATAAGGTAGGTAACCGTATTCCTGTATACTATATTGCCTATTCATATCTTACTAGGAGTCTTAACAAAAATATTTATTTTTCAGATATACCTAATTCAAGATGGATGAATGATAATTATTATAATTATTAAGATTATAATATTATTAAATATTAATAAGTGATATGTCATACTATATTAATGCAATTAATAAAACAAACTAAATTCTGAGCTACCTAGTATGAATATAATTCCATAAAAATTGATAATAATTAAACATTTTTTTTTGCAAATATTGGATTTCATAAACAGTTATTGTTTTTACTATTTTGAGTAAATATATACGATTATATCATAGTACAATGTATTCATTAAAACAAAAAAAAAATCAACTGCAAGTGATATACATCTTATAATGTAACATTTAGGCATCAATAGAGTGCAATAACAACAAGATGAATAAAATATTGAAAAATATTGTACCAAAATGAGAATAGAAAACCCTAAACCTACAATTATTACAAATAGTGTTAAGATCTTCTACTGGTGCATTCCAAACAGTCAAATCAAATCAGCTTTAAGGAAAAAATTTATATTATCCGACAATAACCCACCAACGGTCTATAATATTATTCAAAACTAATTTAACATTTTGATAAAACTACAGGGTCAACAATGGGGAACGAACTTAAACATTTAATCATACAATGAATAACAATTAACTAGATTATATATATTTATGTGTTAAAGACCTCGCACAATGATCATAAATTAATAATTATCAAACTTTTACAAATAGCTTTTAAAAAATAACATTTAGTATTATTGGAAATACTTGAAAACAAATAATTTTGAATACAATTGTATGTCCCAGTCCACATAAAAAAGGGATATATCATTAATTATTCACTACCCTGTTAATGAACATTACAAATAACAATCCTCCTTAGGGCCGTTCTTACAATGTCCGGTAGTGTCGGTTAACGCTAACCGACTGATAACAGATTTTATTACCGGCAGAATTCTTCCGGTTAAGTGTCGGTTAACTTTAACCGGACATCGTAAGAACGGCCCTTAGTTATTAAAAGTTAAAACAAATCCAATTTAACACCCCACATAATTTAGTAGACACAAGGATGATTCTACTATAAAGAACATTTTGGAGGGACGACTCAGCATGAAAAACAAAATGTATGTACACCGAACTATATTTAATTGAGAGGGCATCAAATAAAAATTCGGAATCTGTAGTTTTCCAAGAGGGCCACGGTAGACTTAAATTCCAGGATTATAAAACGATATCAACCAAACGATTTTTGCGATTTACGTGAAATGCGGCTGCGAAGTTGGTCTAATAGGACGGCTTTTTCAAAACGAACACAAAAATTTATGTTTTCCATACCATTTTAAGGCGAAAAGACATTCATCTTAGATTTGAAATTTGTAGTTTTTGGATGGGGCAATCAGGGGACTTAGAAGCGGCCTCCGGTATATAACCGGTATATAAAAGTATATACATATTTTACGACTTTCATGACATACAGGCAAAGCTAGCACGTGGTATACTTAGAACCGATTTTTCGAAATGAACACCCAAATTGCGAGTTGTCAAACCATTTTTAATCGAAAGGGCAACCAACGCAGATTCAAAATGTATATTTCGAAGGGGGCACTCGGCGGACTTGGGCACCAGAAAAATAATATGATATAAACGTATGGTTGATTAAGATGTATATAACACGCGGCTGGGAGGTGTATTTTGGAAGGCTTTTTCGGTATGAACAATAAAAAAAGTTTTTTCAAAACTATTTTTAATCGAAAGGGCATTCAAAAAAGTTTCAAAATATGTACTACCTAAGTGCGGGACGCAGTGGACTTGGGCTCCAGAAAAATAATACGCTTTAAACTGTATGATATTTATGAGTTTACGGACGAATCGGCTGGGAGGTGTACTTTGGAAGGCTTTTTCGGTATGAACACCAAAAAAAATATTTTCAAAACCATTTTTAATCGAAAGGGCATTCAAAAAAGATTCAAAATATGTACTACCTAAGTGCGGCACGCGGTGGACTTGGGCTCCAGAAAAATAATACGCTTTAAACTGTATGCTATTTATGAGTTTACGGACGATTTGGCTGGGAGGTGTATTTTGGAAGGCTTTTTCGGTATGAACACCAAAAAAAATATTTTCAAAACCATTTTTAATCGAAGGGCATTCAAAAAAGATTCAAAATATGTACTACCGAAGTGCGGCACGTGGTGGACTTGGGCTCCAGAAAAATAATACGATATAAACGTATAATTGATTAAGGTGTATATGCCTCGCTGCTGGGATGTGTATTTTGGAAGGCATTTTCGGTATGAACACCAAAAAAAATATTTTCAAAACCATTTTTAATCGAAAGGGCATTCAAAAAAGTTTCAAAATATGTACTACCCAAGTGCGGCAGGCGGGGGACTTGGGCTTCAGTAAAAATAAACTTTATAATATTAGTAGTCTGTGTCGTTGTACATCTTGATCATTTATTAGAAAATGTAACCTTATATTGGATTATACATTAAAATTATACAATATTATTTTAAAAATTGTATAGTACCTACGTAAGAGTTAAGAACACGGTATTATTCAATGAAAAGCAAATAAAGATATTTTTTTCTATGTATTATGCAGTTATATACCTGTTTAAATATAAACTCAATGATGACTAGGTACTCTGCCCATTTCTGGTTAATATGCTTAAATTTATATTTAATGGTAAAATAATTTAACAGATTCAAATATACAATATTCTATAAGACTATAACTTTATACATTTATTCATTGTAATTTAAAATATCAATTAAATTATGTACATAGAATTATAGAAAAATATTAAAATACATAAATAGCATTACAAAATTAAATTTATTCATTTTATATAAACAAACATATTTTAGCCTTTAATAATTTAATTATTAGTTTACATTTTAATACTAACTAATCCTTAAGTTTATATTTACAATATGTAATTATAACTTTTACACAGTCCAATAAATATGTATGCTGTATAATATCTTTTTAATTTCTAAATTAGAAACAATATTTAATTACAAAACGTGTATTCTTTATTTTTAACATCAAATAACAACTATTAACATTAAAAATAAAACAAAACAATTATAATTTAAGACTTATGTTTATGTATCACCTCTAAATAAATATATAGATTTTAGTTATAAGTTGTGTAGGTATATATAATTATAATACAATTAATCTCAATTGGCATAGTAGCCAGTTGTTTCATAATAATAATATAATATAGGCTATTGCTGATAACATACAACTACTAAATACAATTATAAATAAAAATAAATATACATATATTTGTTTTTCTTATGCATTATATTACAAATTTGTTTTAACATTAGAATGAGTAAAACTGGAAAATATGTAGGTTTAATAATAATTATTATAAAATATTCAAAATGTAATACGTTAAAAAAATTGTAAAATTGTATTGGGGAGAACGTGAGCGAGGTAGCTCTGCTTCCCTCACGTTTCCAAAAAATTATTAAAAAAAAGGTTTAATTTTACAAAATATGTGTAGGTAGGTAAATAATTTAAAAAATTTAAAAATTAATAAAAAATATTGGTAATTGCATTAAAAAAAATTCAGCGATTCCTGGAAAAAAGAAACAAATAGATTAAAATCTTAGGTTAAGAACTTTATTTTTATACATCCTTAACTAAAATTATATTTAAATATTTTTTTTACGTCATCACACCTATTTTGAACCCTTAAATGTCAGGTTTTGCACAGACGAAAAGTTTTATCGGAGCTCGTAAGTCATTAGCCGCGATCTTACGAGTATCACTATGCCGACTTGGTAATCGCGTTATTGGTTTGACGCCTTATTGGTTGTAATATTTTATCTATGTTTGGTATGTTTTAGCCTTTTAGGTATTGATTTGGGAACGTTTAGTACCTACTGCAGTTGCGAATTTGTAAACGTATCGATATGTAAGCCCGTATATTATGTGTTAGTGTTTGGTTTTTAATTTTAATTCAATTTCCAAAAGTAAAAATGTAAAGTGCCTGCCTCCTAATATCTGAAATTGTTGACGACATATTAAGAGCTTATAGGATAAG